GTATAATTAAATACATGAATGCTTAATTGCATAATTAAATTATGAATGCTTAATTGTATAATTAAATTATGAATGCTTAATTGCATAATTAAATTATGAATGCTTAATTGTATAATTAAATTATGAATGCTTAATTGTATAATTAAATTAAATTTCAGTGATCAAAGTGTAGTAGATATGTTGCAACAACAGCAACATTCGACATATAAAAAAGCATTATCCGATCAGCAACAATCAAAATCAGTTATGATTCAAACTTCATCATCTGGAACAAACGTTAATCTTGTTAAATCATCCAGTAAATCATCACAGACGAATTATTTTCAAGGTTATGAGAGATGAAATATTTTGATCTTCGTTTCTTTTTTTTAATATTCAATTTCATTTTTCTTCAATTACAAAATATTACGGATGTTAGATGAGCAGTATTGATTGATTAGCAGTATTGATTGATTGGTTTACATCAATAAAATGGAAATTCGTTAAATAAAACGGAAAAGATAATCGGAAATTCGTTACATTTCATATGTATTCCATTATATTTCATTGCATCATTTCTTTTATTCAAAATTAATCTCTTTGCAAAAAGTATTTATAATTTACGAATAATTCAAATTTCATTTACAATTTTTTTTTTTTAGTTTTCATTTCATTAACAATTTATGGCCAAATTAGATAAGTACTAAAATATGCTTGCAGTAAGTATATTGTTTGAAGTAGAAAATTGGAAAAATAAAAATAAACACCCAATGAAGTATGTTGATTTAAGGTTATAATATAAATTTAAGGAAGGATTTAAAATTTTAATATAAATTTAAAATTAAAAATCAATTCTAGATATTGATCCATGTGCTAATTGTAACAATGTTTTAATGCGTGCTGCCGAATTTTTGACAAAAATTGAATTAAATTATGGATTATCAATAACACCATCATTAAGTTTAAAATCAACCAGTCAACAGACATCATCAAATGAGCAATCAATTAAAAATATGGGACAATTGATCGAAAGGTTGATGAGAAATAATTGAATTATTTTATTTTTTCTTTTAAACTACCATTATACATTCATTTTTTCCATTTTATTTGCATTATTTCACTTCCTATTAAACTGTTTTTTTCTTTTTTATGCCATACTACTTCAATGCTAATTCATTTTTTTAAGCAATTTATTCCACATTTGTTTTTCTTTTTCTTTTTTGAAATATTATAGAAATTGTATAAATGAGCTGACTAAATATTTTAAGACATAAATTCAAAGCAGCAAGAGAGAGAGAGAGAGAGAGAGAGAGGAAGGAAAAAGAAAAAGTAGTAGTAG